GAGCTTCGAGACATTGAGGCGTGTGAGCGGAAACAACAGCTGTAATAACGTCTACGAGCTCGTGACTAAGGTATGATGAATTCCCTTCCTCGACCACATCGTCGGTAAACGATCAATGGTTTTCACCTGCATTTTTTGAAGAACTTTTCAGTTCAGATTTTGTTTTTTCGGTTTTAAATAAAATCATAATCATTCGAATTTTTATATCAAATTTGGTTTGGATACGAATGTGTTATTTAGATTAGGGACCAATTCGGTTATTAACTCTATTTCGGTTTTAAATAAATCGTAACCATTCAAATTTTTATATTACGGATACAAATGTGTGTTAATTAGTTTATGGATCAGTTCGGTTATTTAGTTTACGAAATTGGTCATAAACTTTAAATAATTCGAATCAGAAAAATGGAATATATATATATATATATGTTTGGGTGTGGGGGCAAAGGAAAGGCAGACGACTCAATAGAGGATAAGACGTGTAATTATAAAAATAAATAAATTATTTTCGTTTATGCAAATAGAAAAAAAAAAAAGATAAGGATAATTTTCATTATTGATTCTAACGGTTGAGGTACGCTCTAAATAAATAATGGTTATTACAATACAAAAGTAATTTAAATGACGAGGCAACTACGTGGCCCCTCCACGATGGACAGTACGCTGATATAAAGCTAACGTAAGTGGGTATGACACGTGGCGTAATAATACGTACTTTATCTTATGGGTCCCGTGCTTCATTGTGGGACCCATTAATATTTCAAAAAAATGTGTGTTTTTAGGTTTGGATATGGAGATTTTATAATTTCAATATTCAGATTTTAAATTATGACTTAGATTTTAAATTTTTTTTATCATGACGTCTTCTCATCATATTTTGGATTTTGTTATATATATATATATATACGTATATCTTTTTATATCCATCCATTAAAGTTGGGATAGTTATACGAAGTTTGATCATGTGGACGACGTCTCTCCCTCCGAAGTCCGAACCGTTATCTATTAACTATGAGCCGAGCTGAGTTTGATTTATTAAATAAATTATTATAATATTTTGAATTTCAAATCATATAAATGTTTCAATAATCGTAATAAAATGGTTACTTTGGATCTATCCAACCCAATCTTTGATAACAAATCTCTCGTAAATCGGAATGAGGTTGAATTGAGTTGGACCCAAATCCATCAATATATAAAATTAGGTGAATAAAATAAGTTTGATAATATAATTTTTTTATCAATTTTAAAATTCTACATAGAAATGTAGAAACGGACAAAAAAAAAGAAGACAAATCCTATCTACCATTTATAGGGTCATAGTCCAACTTAAACATTTCTAGATAACGGGATACTAATGTGTAATATTAACCAATGGTTATTATCGATATATTTAGTAAATATTACATATATTTAAGGATAAGTTATCGGGTAAATATTAATGCTAAAAAACGTGTAATATTAATTGGTGAACTACAGTTATTTTTAGATTTTATCATAAAAGGTAATTTAAATTAGTTATTTATATATAAATCTTTAAATTAGTATCTTACTTTCTTCTCTGTTTGTCGATGTGAATTATTAATATTTTCCAACAATATTTTATTATTTATATTAATAATGACGTGTATGATCTTGTTATATCACCATTTTTGGAGTTAATATTGCATATAAATATACCTCAATATATATATATATATATATATTTCCCACACATGCTCATAGATGTGATGTATATATTGAGGTATATTTATATGATTTTTTTTTATCAAATATTAAATATATACTCTAAAAATTGGGGAAAAAATCTATCCGTTCCCCAATCCCAACAAAATTCTTTTTTTTAGTCATCCTTCAATTAAAATTTGAATAAAAGAGTCCATAAATGATTGAATGAATCTAGAGAAGATATAATCGTAACCTTTTTTCCAAAAGTTGCTGGAAAATATTTAGAATTAAGGAAAAGCTTGATGCCCAAGACAAAGATCTTTCCGATGGGCCCCACACGTTCTTGTGGATAAGCCTTGCTATTTCGCTAAAAATAAATACAAATAAAATAATGTGACCACCTCGTCACCGCCACGTTCCTATCGGTATCCGACGGTCCAGATCGTTACACGTGGTGATCCATCCCCAGAAATAACAATAAAATAAGAAAAAATGGCATTTTGCATTTTACTACCCGTCAGCAGTCCTTATGATTTAAAATCTCTTAAAATCACCTATAACTCTTAAAAATATCAAATTACGCCTTCTTTCCATTGTCAATGTTAAAATGTAATTTTTTAAGATGAATTATTTGTTATCTGAAAATAAATAAGAATATAATTAATAAAATTATAGTATATAACTTTCAGTTCATGTTTATTTTCAGAATGAAATGGTTTAAAATGTCAAATCTAAAACTATGGGGATAAAATTATAAAAGTGAAAATATGTTTTTTTTGGTAATAATGCTTTGATTAGATATTCCATGCAGGATTAGGATAAGGGGCTAGAACCCAACAGTCTCTGTCCAGTAATGTTGTTGACACTTATCCTCTTTCCTTTTTTGTTATGAGTTTTCTTTTTTCTTTTTAAATTTAATCCCCAAAAAAAACTATTAACATATATTATGTGTTATTAATATATAATAATAATAATAATAAATGGTTGCTTTCCATATTTATCCATTATTTCTTTGTTCTAGGAAACCACTCCCGCACACAGAAAACACAACAATATAAAGATCCCATCTTTGTTTTTCTTTCTCCTCTTTCATTCTCTGTGCGTTTTGTGTTTCCTTCTGTTGGGTTTGGAGAAATGTCGATTGTGATGGGTATAGTCGAATCATGCGGGTTCGATCGCGGCGGGGGCGGTGGCGGAAGCCATTTTCCGACGGATCCTCCGGCGAAGCGCGGTGGTGTACTCGTCGGCGGCGGAGCGGATCGTTGGCTGGGTTCTTCGGTTTCATCGCCTTCTTCGTCGTCGTCTTCGTCGATTGGGACGAACAGCGACGACGAGGAGGACGAAGATGGCGCGAAATCTTCGTCGGAGGGAGGAGATTCCGGCGAGAATGCGGCGGAGAGTCCGTACAAGGGTCCTCTGGATATGATGGATTCTCTTGAAGAAGTTTTACCCATCAGGTTTGTATCTGTGGTGCTGAAACTTCAAAAAGTTTCTCCCTTTGCTTATGTCTGATTCTCTGCAGATTCTGTTTGTTTCTCGGGAAAAAAAATGAAAACTTGGTATTGTTGTTCCTTTGAGTATGGGCAACAATAAATCATCTGTAAAGAATGATTTTTCACATTGCGAGTAGAATCTAAACGAAAAGATCAAATCTTTTAAGACAAAAAATGATTTGTATTTCCCTGAAATAAACAGGAGAGGGATATCGAAGTTCTACAGCGGGAAATCGAAGTCGTTCACAAGCTTAGCAGAAGCAGCGACATCGGTGAAAGACATAACGAAGCCGGAGAATCCGTACAGCCGGCGGCGGAGGAACCTTCTAAGCCATCACATGTGGGAGAACAGGACCCACCGGAGCTGCAGCCACCGCGGCGGCGGCGGAATCTGTAAGAAACCCATCACGAGCGCCGGCAAGAGCTCATTGGCCATGGCCATGGCGGCGGCGGAGATGATGAGCTCCGGCGAGGACTCGTCGTCGGGATCGGGGTCGAGCCCGACAGCCTCAGGATCCCCTCCGAGGGTGAGCCATTTGCGTGTGTTGCCTCCGTTGCACCCACGGAGCAAAGGGTCTTTTGGTAATTTGACAACGTCGCCGTCGCCGGGAAGGGGAGGTGGGTTTTGCGCGTGGAGGTCGTACTCGGTGGTTGATTTGCCGCGGTGTTTCCCGGCGGCGGCCGGTGGTGGCTCCGGTGACTCGTAGATCGAAATTCGTTTAACTTCTCTTCATGATCTATACGTTTAACTCTCTCTCTCTCTCTCCCTATATATATATATATATGGGTGATGTCACTGATGTCGGAGATTGGAGGGTGTCTTTGCCCGATTATGTTTTGGCTCTCCACCGGAGATTGTACAGTCAGAGTTTTTTTTTTTCATCAATGAAATCTCTTCAAGCTTTTGTCTTCCGTTTCACTTGTCCGAGATTTGGAGTTGAGTAGAAACCAATGTCGTATTCAGTTAGTTTTTAACTCAAAATACAAACATTTTCTCGTGACATTATTTGCATATTTTAGGGAGATTTTCAATAATATTTTACTAATTTGGAGATAATGTAAATGCCAATGCCAATGGGGGAGGAGGATGATGAAAAGGACAAAAAGCAAAAAATGGGTCCCACCCTTTTTAAAGATGAAAGGTTGAAAATGGACAAACATTACCCCCTTGTTTGGTAGTGTCCACAAGATGAAGCTTGCAATATGCATCTTTATTTAGGTATTTCTTGTTCTCTCGTTTTCAATCCATTTTATTAAAACATTACCCTTCCAATTTCATAAGTTTTATCTTTGTGTATATGAAAAAAAACAACATTAAATCGGAACCCAAACCCATCTTCGTGGTTATTTCACGACAAAAGCCCGATCTCGACCTCCTTAATATTATGAATACAAAAATCGAATGTTTTCTTTTCACCGTTTCCCAATTCCATTGGACTCTTTGCGTCTACGCCCAAAAAATATACCCTTTGTTAGATCAAAGAAATTCTCAGATCCAAGGTTGTCTTGTTCTCATCACCTTTGCTTTGACCAAAACAAGATAAGATTTCCATGCTCTGCGTATACATACACACATATATATGTGTGTACGTACATGTATGTAACCCCACTCATTCCAGTGTCATCTTTCACATCCATTTGATGTTTGTGACATCTTAGTATTTGCAACAAACTGAAAATCACACCACCAAGAACAAGAATAACCAATTTTCAGACGTTTATGAACCGGTTTTATAACGAAAAAAAAAACGATTAGCTCGTGAAAAAAAACCTGTTGATGATCCGAGTGAAAAAGCTAGCTGTTTTCGCCGCTTTCAGATTTGTGGAGCCGGAGGAGTAACGAGTTAGAGACCACAAAAATCGAGCTCAAGGCCATTAATCCACCTGATGAAAACCCGAAATATCGGTTTAAGGGTTGGGTTGAAGGTAATTGATCATGTGGAGAAATGGAATGGCTAATTAACATACCGGAAAGAGATGGGGTCATGGCGAAATCGTATCGCGGAAGAAGAAGGCCGGCGGCAATGGGGATGGCGACGACGTTATAAGCAACAGCCCATGCTAGATTCTGATACACTTTCGACATTGTTGCCTTTGCAAGACCCAGCACGTCCACGACCTGCAAAAAGGAGAGATTACTTCTGATCAAAACAGACTAGGGTTGTAAAGAACGAGCTGGTTCGGCTTGACCCGACCCCGATCGCTATGAATTCACGGGGTTTGAGCTCGGCTCTGGCTCGTAAATACTCAGTCTGAAGTCCACTAGCTATGCTTGCGAGACAGACGAGCTCAATACAACTATTCAGATATAAAAAGACTTTAAAAGGTTTCGAAAACGATATGTAACATAAAAGTAATAATTGGATCTAGTACAAACATAACATAAACCAGAGAAAACCAAATATAAACATGCATAAAGTTATAACAGGTGAGAATCTACGAGAGAGTTCCAAATGTTCGCAGTTTTGAGAGTGAGGGAGGGCTCGTAAAGGTAAATCGAGTCTTTTGGCCCCATGAGAATTCGGAAATTCAGAAACACGTACGAAAAAGGGGGGAAATTAGGGTTTGTTGGCTTACGAGCGGGCTCGTGAAACCCGTTTCTCAAACGAGGAAAACAAAACCTTGAACCGACTTGTCTGAAAACGGGTTGGTTCCGAGCCAACTCGCATGTCATGGCTCGTTTTACACCCCATTCATTTGAGCTCTCTCACACTCAAGGGTTTGATGCAAGATGCTAAAACTTATGTTAAAATTTCCGAACTCTCGATTGCATGAGTCATGGCTAATAGTATAAGAAAATGGTGTGGTATTGGAGAAAAGCTTACATGCGACAGTTTGTTACGGAGAAGTATGACAGATGCTGCATTAGATGCGGCAGTTTCTTGAGCCTCGATCTGCAGAGCTATACCGACATTAGCCCGGGCCAACGAGGGAGCATCGTTTATGCCATCACCCACCTTTCCAAAAATCAATATATCAACGCCAAAACTTAATTATATGTAACAAAAATTGGCTCATCATGAAGATAATAACATGTACGATCAAACTGATAATGATGTAATTTGAAGATATTGAAACGAAAAATATTTACTGCAGTTCAGCTAAGCTATATAGATATAAATTCACAAGAGGAGAAGTTGTGAAAGTGAAGATCTTACCATTGCAACACGAGATCCAGAAGATTGAATATTGGATATGAAGTGGAACTTCTGCTCAGGAGTCAAGGAATAATTGGTTGATTCAGTTTCTATTCCGACATTCTTTGCCACAGTTGCCACTGCCCCTTCCCTGTCTCCTGACAAGAGTACTGTTTTGATGCCCTTTTGCTTTAGCCTTAAAAAACACACAGAAAGTACAAGTAAAAACCTGTCACCTACCCTCACCGTTGAATCCAGAGGATAAGAACTACAGAGAGCTCAGGGAATTACAAAGACTCGAATTAAGACGTTATGTCAGCAGCTAAGGTGAAGTGGAAAGACACCACAGGCGGGTATGGTTGAATACCCGAGATCTTCGATTATCTGAACTCAAACCCGATAATATCGGGTCTCATGAGATATTACCCGACCTCAGATCCATTTTGGCCGGGTACCCAAACCCGAAATTCAAATAAAGGATTTCTATTATTTTTTCATACAGTATACTAGGCTGGTTTCGGATATACCTGAATTTCAAGTACCCAACACCCACGGGTCTAACTGGATACCTGAAATTCAGGTCTTTTCCCCAACCCAGAAGATACTCTAGTATGAACAGGGGTGTGATGAAGGTAAAAGAATATTACCTGGCTACGGTAAATTCAGCATCATTTCGCAGACGATCAGATACTGCAATAGCACCGATGATGCCTTCTCCTTCACGACCAACATAGACAACAGTCTTTGAATGGTTGGATGATGAGGATGATGTGCTTGATAATCTATGATCTATAATACTTTCTAGCGTAATCACATCAGAGATTTCTTTCTTTTCGGGGAAACGATCATTCACCCAATCCATTGCACCCACTGCAACCAAACGTCCATCTACCTCTGCCAAAGTACCAAAGCCCGGTTCTGTCAATTGGCCTCTTGTTACTGGAATCTCCAATTTCAATCCTTCAGCCTCTTTTATTATAGCCTTTGCTATTGGATGTGTTGCCGTCTTCTCTACTGCAGCAGCAATTTTCAGAATTTCTGATTCTTCATATAAGAAACAAGCTATACCGGACACAACAGGTTTTCCTTCAGTAAGAGTTCCTGTCTGGAGAACACAAGACACCGAGTTAACTAACCGAAATAAAAGGTCTAGCACATAGGACCGGGGAAGAAAGCCCAAATTTCGGGTGTCCTGCTGTTACATGAGATGAGATAAGATCAAGTTTTTGTTATTAGGGAAACCAGAAAATCGGGTTTGGTTTTGAGTATTTGCAAGCGAGACATATTTTGAAAAAGTTTGAAGTTTTGTATTTGAATCTCGGTTTTGGATACTCCGGTACCCGACCAAACAGATCCAAAATCAGTTAGTATCTCATGAGATCCGAGACGTTCAGGTTCGGGTTCGAATAACCCGAAAATTTTGGATACCCAACCGTGTCCACTCCTAGTTTCACGTCTGAGCAAGAAATGCTCGGCTACTGTCTTGTTTTCTATTTTTTTTTCATTTACAGACGAAAAACAAAAACAAGAGACAAAAATAATATAGAAATTACCTTGTCGAAAGCAACACAATCTATGGAAGCCAGGCGTTCTAAGACATCTCCTCCTCTAATAAGATATCCACGTTTTGCACCTGACCATTTTAAAGACAGCTTCACCAAATTAGCTTCAACTAGTCTGCATTAAAACTTGCACCTGTTATTAAATATAGAACTCACAAGAAGCAATTCGACTAGTCCTTTTCATAATAATGACGACTATTTCCACAAAGATCGTCCTCTGTTAACAAAACTCGATACAATTTCAGCTTCATGAATGCTATGCCACTTTTACATCTTCGGTACAGTGTGTAGCATGCATTAATGGGTCAGTAATAATGGAAGTTTCTTAAATATAGCAAGAGATGAAGAAAAAGACTAGGAAGACATAGAAGCAAAGCAATAGGGACTAAGTATATCTTAAAAGATTAGATAACTAAAATGATCCATTTACTTGTTAGAATAATTGGTATTAATCTATAAATCTTTCCTATCGCAATCTTTTGTGCTCTAACCCCCAACCTCAAGTTGGAGAATATATACCAAATCTTTGAAGATAATCTTTTGTAGACAGTGATTAAATTTCTTATATATTATGTGCAAGACCATAACAGATAACATACCAAGAGAGGTGCCAATTAGTATGGCAGTGGGTGTGGCAAGTCCTAGTGCACAGGGGCAGGAGACCACCTGAAAAAAAAAACGAAAGAAATATCAATTGGTATTAACAATGATGATAAACGTGAAGCATAAATTTCTTTCTCCAAAATTACACTATCTTCTCCATTCAATTTCTTTTCAGGAGTCACACCTTGAACCTCCTCATAGCAAATTCGACATAGTTCCCATATAGAAGCTCATATTTAAAATTGATCTGTATGTCCAAATGGTCTTCTCTAAAACTCAAGGATCACTCACCAAGACATCCACGGCCAGTTTCAGGCTTAGAACCAGAGGATCTCCTCCAGGGCCAGAAATATCATTTAACAAAACATCTGGGAAAATGTTTGATCCAATGTAATACCTGATAAACAAAAACAAGTTGTTTTCATTGATGACCCTAAAAAGGAAAGCATAACAGAAACTAAATAGATTCCTAGGAAACAAGTTCAAGAATCCAATATCTCCTGAAATGTAATTATTAAATTTGTTGACAAACAGAAAATGTGAGAAAAAGGATTATACCAGAAGGCAAAAGTTGCTACTGATAACGTTATTACTGTATAGACAAATGGTCCAGCTATTGCATCTGCAAGCCTCTGTACGGGAGCAGCATTGCCTTGTGCATCCTCAACCTGAAAATTTTCAGCAAAATGATTGAATAATTGACATTAAAGTATGTCATAATATATCATAGTTCAATTCGTTGACTTAATGAGGATTGGATGTGGCAGCTAGAACAGTGGTTTCTCAGTCACATTCTCAGAACGGGTTATTATGAAATTTTGGACTTAAATCTCTTCTGGGATGATGTAATTTCCAAACATTTCATAAAAGAATTCCTATTGTTCTGCATGCCGAGTCACTGACCATTCTGACGATTTTTGATATTGTCGAGTTAGAGCCAGTAGAAGACGCTTCAATTCGTAAAGGTCCATCCTGAAATAGAATGAACAAAAAAATAACTTCATATAAGGTTCATGATTACCATATGTACCCTAGATGAGGATGAACTCCATAATCAAATCCTTGATTCTGTGATCTCGTTATTTCTAGCAATATATTTGGCAATATCTTGGGTTTTCCTATTTCACAACAGATTCCAAAGCTACCTATGGTTAAATAATGTGATTCATATGATTAATCGGAGTACATAGGTGTATCATCTATATAGTAAAAGGAGCACCATGAACCAAAAGAAGGAAATATAAACCAGAAACAACCAATCAAAATATAAACTCTTGTTTGGGTAACCACTACATACCCAGTTTACTGTTCCAGCTGAAACTGGGCATCCTTCTTCCTTAAACACGGGAAGCGACTCGCCAGTGAGCATGGATTCATCTACAACACTTCTTCCAGCTACAACTCTCCCCTAAGGAGCAAATTTTAGTTAAAAGTAGAGGATGCCTACAATGAAAACTTTCATATGATATACAGTTACAATATTTACACACCTTTGAAAGATGTCATAAGCACATGCACTGGAGCATAGTTGTGAAAAAAAAAATCAAAGGAATCTCACACCAAGAACCAACAGATTCAGATAATTTCTCAAATTATCAGTTGACGACTCAAACCTAGCAGCTATCCTGCAACTTCCTTTCGAAAAACAAACAATTTCTTTTGCTAAAATTAGACAATTGCAGCACACATTAGCTGATGTCAGAAACTAAGGAAATCTTAAACTGTTAGAAACACTTACATCTACGGGAAAGGTTTCGCCAGGCAGAACCAACAGGGAGTCTCCAACTCGAATGTCATCAATTGGGACATCAATGCATATTGCATCAGAGGAAAGTACAGAATCAGAAGGGGAGTCACTTCCCGAAGAAGTAATCACAAGTCTTGATTGATTGGTGATGAGTGACTGCAAAGAACGTCTCAAGTTAAACTACGGGAAAATTGTGCCTACATTCTCAGGAGGACAACCAAGAAAGGTCTGGCAGACATGTGTGTGTGTATGGGCTGTTTGTTTAGCTACTTACCAACAGTTCATTCATATCACTAGATGCTCTGAGCTTTGCCCTTTCTTCCAAAGAACGACCAAGGAGCACAAAACCAAGTAGCATGACCTGCATACTAAAACACAAGAGCTCTTGATCAGAAATTCGGCATTAACTCACATTTGTATCAAGCATGCAGTAGAAGTAAATAGAAAAAAAATTATCATAAAGTCAAAAGTTTCTATCAGAAATTATGCATGTAGTAATCAAAGTTACTACTGAAAGATCCTCCATTATAGATATAGGATATGGAAAAGGAGACTCAAAGTCTAGCAAATCACCGGTTCATCGAAGAATGAAGCATCCCATTCGAGCCCTGGATTGAGGAGTGAGATCTGCGGAATCCAGAACGCAAAGAATGTCAGCATTCCTGAATAAGGCACTGTCCAGAAATCATGACTGAATCACAAGATTCAAAAACTCACCAAACTGATAGTGAAGGCAGTCACAGATCCAATTCCGACTAAAGAGTTCATGTTTGGTGATCTTTTTGCAAAGGCCTTTAAGCCATCAAACAGCAATTCTGCAAAGTAATGTCCATCTCTTGAAATCAGGAAACATTAAGAACAAGTTATGTGATCACTACTTACACCAAAGGAGGGCACATATGCAAATACACCAGCTCAACAACAAACCTCTTCCTGGCCCCAACAAAGCTCCAACTGCTAAGCCACCCTTCACGTACGAATTATGAAGAAATTCCCAGAACCCTCCTAATAAAATCAATAAGCAAGAGAAGTCCGACCTCCATTAATGGCATCAAACTATACAAAATATCACTGATGTTCAAATTTTATACCAAGAGAACAATGTAGCAATGTACCATGAGCGATGTGAATTCCTAACGAGTGCAGAATATGCGAAGAATGGGAACCGCAACATAGAGCCACGAGCGTCCAAGCAAAAGCCACGCGGTTCCTGCTCTTAACAAGCAGTTCTTCTTTCTTGCTCACCATCTCCTTCCATTTCTTCACGTTCTCCGCCACACCCAGCCCTGAAACCCTCCTCTTCGCTTCGAACCCACAGTCAGTCAATTTCTTGGCCAAGCTCTCCGCCGCGTCCGCAACCTCCTGGACCTCCGGTTTCAGCCTCACAGCTGCGGTCTCAGTCAACATATTGACTACAACCGAGTCGACTTGTTCATCGGCCGCTAGAACAGATTTAACCCGAGCGACGCAACCCCCACACATCATCCCGCTCACATCGAGCAGAATCGGCGAGTCACTCAGTGGCGGTTTCACAGATTCAACGGAAGTTGTCGCAGGTTCCCGAGACTGAGTTCTGATTCCGATCGAGTTCGAACAGAACCACCGGAAACGGGATCTTCTCCGCCCCGAACGTAGGACCCCGGAGAAGCATCGCTTCGTGTACTTGACATCGAGGAACTCATCGGAAGGAGAACAAAGCCTCTCCGGATACAGAAGGGGTAGCCGAAGAAGATGAATCGCCATTTTCTCCGGCGAAGGAACTACAGAGGCGACGATGCATAAAATTGCACTGAAATACCCAAAAAGAAGATTGAAGGAAAAATTGACCGTTGGATTTTGCATATCCACAAAAAACCATTTTGTGGCTTAAAAAGCCCCGGTGAGAGAGAGAAATGCCAGCCTGTCACAGGAGCTCTCAAAACGCTGCGTTTTGTTTAGTCGGATGCCACGTAATACCTTCTGAGAGGTGTAGAGGGTTCCGTGAGAAAAAAACCAGCGATTTCAAACTTAAAAGCCACGTGTCATTTACCCATAAACTCTCTTCGTATAGTATCTTCTTCAGTTTCCCCTTCTTCTCGGCTTCGAACTGCTACGAGCTCCAATGGCGGAGACAGAACTGCTTGTGAATAGCACGACAACGTCGTCTTCTGCACCGAGATCGGTTCCGAATTTCGTCTTGCTTTCCTCGGAATTTTCGCAAACACCTCTTGTGCGTCCGGGAAAACCCAATCTTATGCTTCTTCCTCCATCTTGTGGGTCCTCCAATATAACCCAATTCACCGGTCTCCGATCTCCACGACCGAAATTTTTTCTGGGTTCGTTCATTCACTGGCTTATCTGAACCTCTCTTTCAAAAAGCTGTTTTCTTGTCGTCTGAGTTTCAAGCTCTCTGCCTCAAGGTAACTTCTGTCTCCCTGTTCAAGTAGCTTGAAGAGGATAACAAGAGTGGTTGAAACTCTTAGGAATTCGTTTGGTGACTTTGGTCAACGGTAAAATCATTTGTTGGGAAGAATATTGGATTTTGTGGGAGGACGTTAGAAGGATTCATTGGCTGTTTGTGATAAAAATTCGTTCGAGGATGAAACAACCTGAGCACACGGACAAAGTTCTGAAATTTGTGTGTTTGGAAACATGTTTTGCAGGAAAGGTATATGCTTGGTGTTGTTGTTGTTAGTCCCCAAAGGTAAGCCTCCGAAACTCTCATCTTGGATTATGATTTTATCTTATTTCCAAGTCCAGAAATTGTGACTAGTCGATTGGAATGAAATCTAGATCTTGATTCGTGGCCAACGTTTATATTTTCCTAAACATGAGTTCTGTAAGGTAGTTCTGCGTTTGAATTAGACGCAGTTTGATCAAGAGTATATCAGCTTTCTCCTTTTCTGGGTCAAAAACTGTACGCTCTTCCCGGGCGGGTTCAAACATGAGATCCTTTGGAAAAACTGCCCAATAACCCACCATTTCTCTTGTCGGAAGCCCACCAATAAGCGAGGAACATGATCTCTGATGACGTGTTTCTTGATATTCAATGTCTCAGCACGATCTGTGATCCATACTTGAACATATTCCGCCTATATGAGGAAGACTGGATTTGCCTCCTATTCCAATGTTCCTCGTGAGACAAAATGGATGAGACAGGCAAGGCCGAACAACTCCAAAGTCCAGAGACCAAGGTCTACTGCTATAACTGTCGACCTCTTCCCGGGCGGGTTGAAACATGAGATCCTTTGGAAAAACTGCCCAATAACCCACCATTTCTCTTGTCGGAAGCCCACCAATAAGCGAGGAACATGATCTCTGATGACGTGTTTCTTGATATTCAATGTCTCAGCACGATCTGTGATCCATACTTGAACATATTCCGCCTATATGAGGAAGACTGGATTTGCCTCCTATTCCAATGTTCCTCGTGAGACAAAATGGATGAGACAGGCAAGGCCGAACAACTCCAAAGTCCAGAGACCAAGGTCTACTGCTATGAACTGAATCTGGCACACAGTCTCTGTAGCTATACCCATTTTCTGTGCTTAGAACGTGAAGTGTATCTAAAACCTTTTTCATACATTGCTGTGGAACCCGGGTTTTGTGCAAGAAGCATGAACGGGGATGCATGATAGCTTTGACCGTGGTATGAAGGTCTTGTGTAGTTTTTGGATCTTATGTCTAAATGAACATTGGTTTACCATTTGAGCGAAGAGCGAAACCAAGATCCTCAGAATGCCAGAAAGTCTAATTCCTTCAAGCATCTAATTACATCGTCAGGTACACTGAAACAGAGAGAAGGAAAATCATATCAGGCGATTCATGAGTTTCCTCAGATTCCGTCAATTGATCAGTCGTTTCCCAGAAACATTAGAGATTCTTGCATAGGAAAGTTGATTAATTTAAACTTTTTTCAGTTTCCATGAATTGCTAATGCAGAAGTTGAGGAATCTGTTTCATTCAGGTTCAATGCAAAGGCTTTTACACTTCAAGATAAAAGCAAGAAGAATCAGAATCACGAGTAAGCCACCGAATGAACCGCAGAGCCTGTGAATCCAGTAGTGATCAAACCTGGTCAAGCTCTGGTCAAAGTAAAGAGACAAGACAATGGCCAAGACCAGCAAGAAGAGCAGCAAAGGAAGCCAAAACATGAAGCTCAATGGTTCTTCTTCAGGCTCTGGATCTTCTTCTGATAAGCTGTCTATGTAGAGCGGTGAAAGCACGGCCAAAACCGTCAAGCTGATTGCGAGAAACTTCCTGGACGATGTAATCCTCCTCGTCATTGGGCTGCTGAATCCAGCTTCCATCAGGAAATCACGATACAAGGTGAAATAACAACTCTTACGTTATATGTCTGCCTCTAAAGTTTCCTCTGGTTCTTGTTGTTGATTGAATAAGTTGATTTTCACATGAAATTCTCTAGAAAGGCAAAGGAAGTTTCCTCTAAAGGGCCTTTTCCGTTGGGAAGAATCTCTTCCCAAGGTGCAAGATATTGGCTTGGCAAGTGAGATTGGTTTGGTTAGGTTAACAGGGTATTCATCGGTTCCTTTTTTGGTTGCACAATTTTAAGAACCGGTTTAGGCAATACCATGTTACCCTTAACCGGTTTTCTGGCGGGTTCTGGTTGGTTATACATTTGGTTCGGTCTGTTAGCTGCAGATCAAAACCAATGACTTTATTAGCTGCAGAGAGAATCTCTGTTTATGGTGTTCATATCCACTACTAGTCTTAAGAATCTGATGCCCTTCTCTTTTCTTCCTTTCTTCTTTTATTCAATTTATTCCCTGAAGATCGAGAAAGAATATTGGGTATTGATATTCTACACCTGTTCTTACAATTGAGACATACTGATCTTACGTTTGAGCTAAAAACCTTTAAGAATCTTGATCGAGCTGTTTATGATCTTCTTGAAAATACAAGGGGAACTATACATTGCCACAAACTCTACTACTCACTGACAGAATCTTCTTGAAAAACTGATCCTTTGTTGTTGGAATGTCCCAGAAATGGAGCCCTTCTCAATCCGATGATCTCAACTGGCAATTCCGAATTCTCTGTAAGAACTTTTTTGGTTACCTGTGATATATTAAGCCGGGTAAACAACTGAGTTGCTTCAACAAATCGTTGAAAGATTGAATTTGTTTAAGAACAAAAGCCTTGGTTTTGCAAGTTCTTATTACATACCAGTGAGCAGCCGGAAAGCTTGATCTGTCTTAACGACGGGCAACAAAGCAAGGTCAGTCTTATATCTTCATTTGTTAGCCTCCGGCACCATGAGAGGTCCAAAAATTGCTGTTGCTTGGATACTTTAGCCAGTGAGATGACAGTATTTCGAGAAACCTGTTAAGAGTCAGATCTCTTGTCAAGGCTTTGGATCAAACCCGGCGTAGGTATGAGGAAAAAAAAGGAAAGGTGCTCACTTTTTGGATGTTGTTCAGGGAGAGTGCATTGAGAGAACTTTCGGAAACTTCCAGGGAAGCGGGAATGCATTCGTCACTGTCAAAAACGAAAGGTTACATGTTTCAGCACATGTGATACATAGAGAGAGGCAGTCGGCTTTGGAGAAAACCTGAAATGATTCTGACCGCATTTGAGTGAAGACAGAGATCTGCAACTGTTGGCAATGTACTGCAATGACATATCTGACAGTTTATCCAAGAACGTGATATCAAGAACCCGCAGTCTCTTACAGTATCTCCCGATAGCCTCAGTAGATTCATCAGTAACTTCCCTGCAACACCATTGATGGAAGTGCAAAGGCTTAACCAGTGGAGATTCAACGAAAAACCTAAGGAACATAGCTCGAGACATACATGCAACTAGCGAGAACAAGACTTGTGAGATTTGACCCATGTGCCTCGAGAAACCTGAGGACGAAACGATCATCGATGCCTTCGAGCCCGGCTACTGACAGACTGTTCAGGCTTTTGAACCTCTTTAGGTTGCCCAAGACATTAGATGGGTTTATGCCTTGACAACCCTCTATGTTAAGGGCTTTCAGGGTGGATCCCAAGTTATCGGCAAGAATCTGTATCGCTTTGTCGTTGAGAAGAGAGCATTCTCATAGGTTCACCCTCTGAAGCAGAGGAGCAGATCCGGAAATTAGGGCTAAGGCATTGTCAGTGAGATTGAATGCTCCTTTCAGACGGATACGTGTCAAGGCTGGGAACCCTTTCGGTGAACGAGACAAGAAGTCGCCTATCACGTGTTCTGTCATGGAATGTCCGCATAGGGCGAGTTTCAACGCCTGAATCCAAAATCCGCAGAAACTGAGACAGCAAAACATTGAAGAAGAAACACCTCCTAGTTCCACAGCTCCAAGGGTGTGGGAGCTACTCTTGTTGTTGTCCTGAGATAAAACCCTTTTCCAATCATCTTCAGCCCCACGGAATCTGGAGCCAGATCGCTACTTCTGTTCTTGATCGCCTCCAATGCGTCCTGAAACGGTCCCCTTGAATCCTCGACCTCCTCCTTCTTCTTCTTTCCATCTTTCCCGATCCTCTGTTTCTTGTGATCATGGCGGTTTTCCTGGGAAACCCTGTCATTTTCCCGAGAATTCTCAGCAGAATCCATGGCGAGTGAGTGGTTCTTGTTTACTTCTTGTTTTCTTCTTTTCTCCAGAGCGAAGGAAATCAAGAGACGTATTTATACTTTTTTGTTGGAGGAAAAAAGATTTTCTTTTTTCACATTTAGAGAGAGAAAAAATATATATATTTTTCGCCGCTCCGCTGACCCACTACAGTCAACTCAACTGTGGTCAACGACCTTAATACAATACAATATATAATTACATAACTCGAGGAGTTGGGATGTAAATTGGGCCGGTCCGTCCGATCCGATCCAAGTCCGCACTTGGTTCGGAAGTTTTGGGTTCAGGCTCAGGTCGACCCGATTTTTTTCGGATTTATATAATTAAGTTCGAAGTCCGGTCCTATGCATTCCGGCTCCGGTCGGATCGTGCTGGGCCGTTCCGCAGATCTTCCTTTGTAAATATTATTTTTTTTTTAAAAAAAAAAATTTCGGGTTTTCGGATCAGCCCGAATCGAGTTCGAAGTCCGATTTGAGTCCGGTCCGAAAGCCCGATTTTTTTTCAGGTCAAGAAATTTCGGTCCGAAACTCGCTATTTTTCGGATTGGGCCAGGCCGGATTTCGGGCCTCAGACCCAAATTGACACCCCTAATAATATTTTGAAATATATATTTGGAAAAACTAGTTAAATAGATTTTTTTTAATTCAATATAAAAACATAAAAACAATTTATTTTTTTAAAGGGACAGTTATTAAAAAACATATCTATTTTATAATTTGTTTCAAAAATCTTATACACAGTAGTAAAATAGGAAAACTAACTTGCTCACAAATATGTGAACTTCATTAGTAATCCCTAATTCAATTTCATAATTCCTACGCACCTAACGGATCCAACAAGCTTAAGACAATACTCCGAAGCAATAGAAAAAATATTTATATAATTCACAATTAAACTCATATGTATAATATAGTAATTAAATGCCGTTAGGACTATATATATGTATATACATACACATATATACATATACACACTCAAGTGGTAAATGGGAAAATCCAAAAACAATTGGTGGCTACCGAAACCAAATTAGAATGTCCTTTACGCGTCATTCATCGGAGTTGAATTTTGAATATAATTTTTTTTTTTTACCTTAAGTTGTCCAATTAAGTTTTTTTTTTTAATTTGTTAAAACCCCAAATTCGAACAAAATCCTAAAGCCCAATGTTTCGGTCCCTACTAGGGTGTCAATCGGGCCGGCCCGGCCCGAGCCTGCACTCGGTCTGAAAGTTTCGGATTTGGGTTCGGGCCGGCCCAATTTTTTTCAGGCATATATAATTAAGTCTGAAGTCCGACTCTATGTATTCCGGGCTCGGATCGGGTCGGGTTGGACCGGGCCGGCCCACTGACCTTTCTTTGTAAATATTATTTTTTTTCTTTTTTTTTTATAAAATTTTCGGACTTTCGGGCCGGTCCGACTCGAGCCCGAAGCCCGATTTGAATCCGGTCCGAAAGTCCGGTTTTTTTCGGGCCAAGAACCTTCGATCCGAAACCCGCTAATTTTTGGGTTGGGTCGGGTCAGGCTTCGGACCTCGGCCCAAATTGACACCCCTAATCCCTACGTCTGAATTTATATTCGTCAGAATATACCCACAAAAGAGAACTTTTTTTTTTTAATCAAAGACAAAATTAGATGGCATATTGGTATATCAATTTTGACTTTTGCATGCATATATACGGTACAACAAAATGGACTAAAAAGGAAACAAATTCAGAATTATGAGATTTTTTTTTTTAAAAAAAGTTGTTATTTTTATGTCAAATTATACAAATCAAAATGATCATAACTGTGAACTAGTGTTAGCTACTCTGATCATCTCTTAAAGACACTTTGTATTCAAACCCTAAATACATTTACTAACAAAATTATATTGTCACACACACACAAACATACAATGCTTTATAATAATATTAGAATTTTAGAGTGATATGAGGATTATATCTCTTTATAAGATTATTCGCATTATATGTAGTATGCTATATATACGATTAAAAAAAACTCAAGAAGACAGTACAAATGGGTTCACACTATTTATAAATAGACACGCGTGTTGGACATATCACATCACCATTGCTTCAAATGAATTAGGGGTGTCAATTTGGGCCCAAGGCCCGAAGCCTGGTCCGGTCCAATCCGAAATTAGCGGGTTTTGGGTCTAAATTTTTCGGCCCGAAAAAAAATCGGGCTTTCAGGTCGGGTTCGAATCGGGCTTCGTGCTCGAGTTGGGTCGGTCCGAAAGCCCGATATTAAAAAAAAAGAAAAAAATAAATTTTACAAAGGATTTATGCGGGCCAGGCCGGCCCGACCCGAGCCCGGTATATATAGGGTTGGGCTTCAGACTTAACTACTTAAGCCCGAAAAAAATCGGGCCGGCTCGAACCTGAGTCCGAAACCTTCGGGCCGAGTGCGAGCTCGGGTCGGCCCGATTGACACCCCTAAAATGAATTAAAAAAAAGTGAAAATGAATTGAAGCAAGAAATTAATGTCTAATTGAATGTGGAATGGTCCTTGCTAAATAATAGCTATCGGATATAATCATTTGTCCATATATCACCAATTAATGTACTATGATATATCTGATTAAAAAAATTAATATAATTGGATTGTTTATATAGTTTTATAACTGTTAACGATATTTTAAATTTTATTTTGTTTATTATTATAACTAATCTGAACCCAACGAAACCGAATTTTTTATTTGTTTATTAGTTGATTATAATTTTAATTAAACATAACCAGATCGAACCCTTTCAAATCAATTAAAACCAAATAACCATTTAATTATGAATTTTCAAAACTCTAAAAAAGCCGAATTCCAATTAACTGTCCCCAATAAAACCGAAAGAAACCATTCACCATCCCATTGATTTATGTATAAATTATAATATATATATATATATATAAACATTCTAGTATATAACAGTGTGTGTGTATATATTTATATATGTAAGAACAAAATTTATCATGGATACAACTGTAAAGGGTATGTGTGTTGAATATATAATATAAAGTATCGTGCAGACCATGCATGCAAATCTCCATTTGTTATTCTACGCCTTTTTGGTGACCGTCTTTGTTTATTATAATCCAAATTGGTTACACGAAAGGGACAACATGTAATAAAATTATAAACTCACATCAATTCAATAAAAAAACACTATGAAAATATGTTTACGCTTTTACTCATGCAACCCTCGAGTTTGAGATTCAAACATTTATATTATCTTTTATTGCGTTGTCTCCTCATTGTTGTTCTGTTGTGTTGTGTTCTATTTTTTTTGCTTTTCCATTTTCCTTTTTCTCTAATTTATATCTCCTTTTTCTTGGATGGTAAAATCAAATCTCACTTTTCTAAAAAAATGTAATACATACTTTTTTTTTACTACGAGAGAAAATATAATTCACATGCAAAAAGCATTCCATGCACGTGTTGGTGGAACGTAATTCCATAAAATCCAGCACAAAATTTATCTGTCTTTATGGAGAAAAAAAAAAAAGCTCTCTACTTTCTCGTAGAATGTTGGCCTTCCAAAGATTCAATTTTACATTTTTACCGAACCCTTGATAAATTTAGAACCTCGAAACAAGTTTGAATTTCAGCATTATGGATCACTTGAGATTTTAAATAATAGATTTTACGATAATACCCGTAGTAATAAAGAATATATAGGAGAATTTTGAAAATTTAATCTACCGTGATATATAATATATTGATCATTTCATGATTTTCTAAATTAAATTCAGTTCAGTTTATTTTGGGAGTCGTTTCGAGAAAAAAAAAAAGGTGATTTAGGTGAAAAGAGTTTATTTTAATATTTTTTGGATAATTAATGGAAATAGATATGATAATATACATCAACCATAACAAATTATGTTCGTTCATATATGGTTTTGAGTTTTAGTTTTTCATAATTAGCAAAGTGATTTAGGTGAAATCGAAAATAACGTCCGTTGCATGGCACGTTTATCAAAGAACGTTATGGGATGTCTTTGCATGGGAAACTCGTAGCCTCTTTATTTTTTTTAAATTTTTAAATTTTTTTACAATCTTACAAGAAATCATCATCTTATGATTGCAAAATCTAAAGCTGCGAAATATATTGTGGGCCCACTCTCTCTTAATTGTTTTTTTATTTTTTTATTAAACACGTCTTTTGTGAATGAAAAGCAAAAGGAAAAAGCAAAGTGACGAAAATAAAAAAAAATAGTTGGGAGGAAATCGATTAGATTTTGGTTCGAAATCCAAAATTTTCAAAAATATTGTTTTATTTGTAGAATAATCATTGTTATTGTGGTATTTATTATTGACAATGTGATTAATACAATATATATAATTAAAGCTTAGATGCTAAAAAATGATAATCTCTCTTTGTAATTAATGGGCGCGGAGAACATCTTCGTTTGGTGAATTCAATCAAATCTCGGTATCGCGTGCTCTCTTGAATATATTTTTTTTATAACGGAAGATCCTTAGCCGCTACACTTCGGACGCCCTGACTAGTTAAACCTCCGGTCCGAGAACAACCTTTTTATATAGATCATATAAACCCAGAAATTACATCCCTCACCACCAGCCAGAAATCGAACACTCAACCTCAAGGTGGAGTTACCTACCCCAGACTTGATCACTCGCCCACGATCTGTTGGGATGCTCTCTTGAATTAATCTCCTGTTAAATATAAATACGATACCCAATTATTCATTTATTTTATTTAATTAAGACAATTTATATTTATATAATAACTTCTTAGTTTTATTGGTTTTTGGTGGGTGATAAACATAAACAATTTCCAATTAAATTATGTGATTTCTTTTTATATCTGTTCACCTTTCACGTCAACTTTTATGGGCATGTGAGTTTTGTCAAAAAAGGAAGACACAAGAAAAAGAATATCGTAAACCTTAAGGGTTGTAAGCGGAACTCTCTCTCTCTATATATATAGATATATAGATCTAATTTAGGAAATTATGTGACCTAATCCTTATATCAATATTAACTTTATTTATTTAAACTAGATTATATAAAATTAATACAAAGTAGTCTTAGTTTTATTAGTATATCTCATAATAAATGTTTTGCGCATCATATATCATCATATATATATATATAAAGGTTGGTGATGTTCAAATTTCAAAACCTTTTGGAGTTTCTTTTGTGGTAACTTATAGAGAAGAATCGGATGCCCTAAATATGAATCATATAACTTAAGACTCCACTTTTCTTTTTTCTTTTTTTTTTAAAATTTAAAATGGGTGAAAAGAGATAATTTGACCGTCGAGTCAAAGTAAATCTTCCTATACTCAACGCATCGAGTTTTGATTTTCCTTGTCCTTTTTTTTTCCCTTTTTCGCTTTTCTTGAAATTTTCAAGAGATTAAAACGGATATCGGGGATAAATATTTTGGTTCCGAACATGGGCGAGTCCAATTTTTTATAAAATGACTAAAAAACCTTTGACGAAAATAATTTTTTTTAATGAGTATTTGTTTTTATTTTTTAAGAAAAAATCAAACCGAATCAGATATAAAAAAACATGAAAATCGATTAAATGTATCTTTCAAATGTTGAATTGATGTATGTCACCAAATAATACTCATATCATTTTGAAATTATAGTCGACCTGTTCACATTCTGATATATATATATATATATATATATATATATATATATATATATATATATATATATTTATCTCCC